CGGGAGATTTGTGAGCGGACACCACTGCCTCGGGACAACTGTGAGCGGAAACCGCTGCCTTGGGGGAACTGTGAGCGGACACCGCCGCCTCAGGGGGAACTGTGAGCGGACACCGCGGCCTCGGGGGGAACTGTGAGTGGACACCGCCGCCTTGGGGGGAACTGTGAGCGGACACTGCCTCTTCGGGAGCCTTGTGAGCGGGCACCGCCAATTTGGGAGCCTTGTGTGCGGACACCGCCGCCATGGGAGGACTGCGAGCAGACCATGCCACTCGCACCGACATCACGGGGGGTTCCTGCACGCTGCGTATTAGCCCGGGACGCTTCGGGAATGGGCGTGAGGTCCTGGGACAGGGCAGAACCAGCGGCCACCACAGTGGTGTGTGTGGAGCTGCCACCTTGGATCGGGCAATGGCTTCGCCGCTTCGGGAACCCCAGAGGCGAGCATTGCCGCTTTGGGAAGACCAGAGGTGAGCTCCGCCGCCTTGAAAGAAGAGCGGGCAGACACCGCCGCTTTGGGAGATTTGTGAGCGGACACCGCCGCCTCGGGGGAACTATGAGCGGACACCGCCGCCTCGGGGGGAACTGTGAGTGGACGCTACCGCTTCGGGAGATTTGTGAGCGGACACCACTGCCTCGGGACAACTGTGAGCGGAAACCGCTGCCTTGGGGGAACTGTGAGCGGACACCGCCGCCTCAGGGGGAACTGTGAGCGGACACCGCGGCCTCGGGGGGAACTGTGAGTGGACACCGCCGCCTTGGGGGGAACTGTGAGCGGACACTGCCTCTTCGGGAGCCTTGTGAGCGGGCACCGCCAATTTGGGAGCCTTGTGTGCGGACACCGCCGCCATGGGAGGACTGCGAGCAGACCATGCCACTCGCACCGACATCACGGGGGGTTCCTGCACGCTGCGTATTAGCCCGGGACGCTTCGGGAATGGGCGTGAGGTCCTGGGAGCCACTGACAAGACCACTGAAGCCTCTTGGATCGCCGTTCCGGGAGAACTGTGAGTGGGCTCCGCAGCTAACTCCACGCTGAAGGCTGAGCCGCTCAACTGCAGAGCCAGGTTAATGTAGTCCTCCAGCGCCTCCTCTGGGTGCCAGTATGGCATAAGGGACTTGAACGGCTTGGCTAGGCTTCCCCAGAAAAAGACCATGAGGCAGGTCTTCTCCATAGCCGACCGGCGAGCTACTCCAATGAAGTCCCTGGCGTAATCCTCAATGCTCCGGTCTCCCTGGCGGATGTTGAGGAACTTCCCTACTGGAACCATGTTTGCTGGCTGATTCTGTCACGGTGCAGTAAGAGAGCACCGTGGAAAAACAGGGTCTGTGTCCAAATGCAGGTGAAACTTCGATTTAATGAACAGAAAGGCAGACAAAAAGAAACAAAGACAGATCAGAACGGATCTTCAAAACAGGATCAGGAATGGGATACAATTTCAGCAACAAACGTGCTTGCATCAACCAATTATGACAAATACAATTAATCAGCCAGGCAGAGTGGTGAGTGAGAGGAGAGTATGTAGTCTGTGACAATGGGGAACAGCTGAGGGTGTAATGGGTGACAGGTGAGTGGAGTCTGGGGAATGGAGTCTGGGAGGACGGGAGATGGCGACCTCTGGTGGTGAGAGGGAGTAACACAGGGCCCGGACCCCTGACACAAAGACACGAACAACAAAGCCATAGTTAGTTGTATTTTACTTTCCACGTATGATTTCACTGGAGCCGGAAGTGTTCAGCTCTTTACTAAACATTATTTAAGCATCTAACAGTGCAACAATTCTTATATTAAACAGCCAAACTTTTTTCTGAGGCCAGTTATCATGATTTAGTGGTCTTCATTTAATTAATCCATTTTCCTGTTCTAGTTGGTTGTTAGGTGGGTAAGAAAAGAGCCAACTTCCATATGTCTATGATATTTTAGTCCCTAGATATCGCTAGGTTTTTTATTTTTATTTTTTTCTCAATTTTATTCTCCGCCAGACAAAAACCCTGTGTATGAGCAATAGTAACAGTAATGTGTGCCTTAACAAGCAACATTAGTGTGAAGTGACTTTGAATCAGTTATTGTAAGTAGTCATTTTAGCACGTTATTTCACGACTGATAGTTTATAACTCCACACCCCATGCTATGTGAGTCATCATAGTCTGAGTGTTTTGGTTAGAATTTGAGTGTTGCTCGGCAGTGAATTAATTTAATTTTAACCTCTTTAATTTTAACCTCTTAATCATGTGGAGCAAAACACATACACACACAGACACACACACACACACACACAATGGAAGAAAATCATCTCTCACTACACTTATACAGCACAGACTCTGTCTACCCTTAACAAGAATGTAATGAGGTTTTAACGAGTCTCTGGTCAGCACTTACATCTCTGACCCATGACCTTTTAATGTCACAAACGTGATCAGAGTGCTAGAGAGAGAATGGCACTGTTGCAGTGTCGTGGTCCATGAGTACTGAGTAACCTGTTAATCCCATGACAAGCCTGGGATAATTGCCAAAGTGCTTTATAGAACACAAAGCCAACAAAACAAATATAAATATATTTGACAATAAAGCTGAGCTCCATTTGTGACTCCACTGGTCTAGTGTTATTTCATCTGAGCACAGATCACATTAAGTTTGATATTGGTGACTATATATGGTAAAATTCGGCACGTGAAAGTGTGTTCTTGATATATTATTCATGGTAAATGTTGATTGTAAAGCTGCATACACATTTTCCGAACTATTACACGTTGGTAAATATAATGCATCTATACTGGTTAGCAACAAAAAAAAAATTATAATAATCATTTTATTATTACATGTATTTAGAATTCTGTGCATGAAATTATGTGCTAATGATAGAGGTCTATCAACATTTGTCTGGATTTATGTGTATAAAGTGCTTAAAAGAGGAGAGCAGAAGGGTTTTGAAATGTTGAGGGAAAAAAAACAAATTAAACTGCTATTTTTCTCCAAACTGATCAGGCGTTCTGTTTCAGGTCCTCATATCAAGTTTTGTTTCAGTAGCTTAAAGTGCTTAGAAGATCCAGCCTCAATTCCTGCTTGACTTTAAGCTGAATGCATATTGATACATTATACAAGAAAAAAAAAATGGTGAGAAATCTGAAGAAAGGTCCATTCAATGTAGTAATCACACATCAAAACATCACTTAAGCAGGTGCTCGATCAAAATAAAGCTTATCTGAAATGCATAAAGACATTCATTAAATTTTTGGGGGGAGCAGAAATAGCAATGTGCCAATCGTTTTGCATTTCAACGAAGATCTGGAGAATGCCAAAGAAAAACTTCAAAAGAGTAAGTTTGAGTAAGAGACTCCAAATTTGGAGATTGGAGACTTGAAATTTTGGTAATTTGTAAACTCCAATTAAATAATAATAATAATAATAATAATAAATTGCTAAAAGTAATTTTGAAAGTAATATGGACTTTCTGTATTTTCCCCGTAAATGTAATAAAGCCATAATAAAACAGTCTTATTAATTGAAGCTGTATGGTTCAAGTGTTTTCATTATTAATGTTCAGTAATGATGTGATTCTGTATAATTCAAAGTACAACATAAAACCACATGTAGACAGGCTTCCAACTGGTAAATGTGATTTATCTGATGTATACTGTAGGGCAGGGGTGCCTAACCCTGCTCCTGGCGATCGACTGTCCTGCAAAGTTTAGCTCCAACTCTAATCAAAGACACCTGCCTTTAATTTTTAAGTGATCCTGAAGACCCTAATTAGTTGCTTCAGGTGTGTTTGATTAGGGTTGGAGCTGAACTTTGCAGGACAGTCGATCGCCAGGAGCAGTGTTGGGCACCCCTGCTGTAGGGTATGTAAGCGCATATCAGGCAACATGACAAATAGGTAGATGATCAGTGCAGTTAATGGAGTCATAGACATTTTTTTTTTTTTTTTTTTAAGCAATTAAAATGCATCATTGAGTAAAAGGTCTGACATTAAATGATAATATACCCAGTTTAGCAATTTTTGGCAGAGTACAGTTGTCTATCAAGGTGTCATCTTTGTTGATAATCGTACACCTGTAAAATAAAAGCTTTTTTTGGAAAACAAGTTTTGGAATCCAGAGATATCAAATAAGAATAACCTCCAACACTAAATATAATAAAACATAAGAGGTGCTGAAGCATAGGTTTTTGTTCAGTCCTGTTCTTTTTGTGACAAAAGATTTTCCAAAGCCGTTCTCTATCTGGAGGAAACAAATGTATCTGATGAAAGCAAGACCTCGGGACTCTGACAGGAACAAATGGAGTGTGATTGGTGACAAAGCAAACAGATCAATGAATGCCTAAATCAATCTCCATGAATCAGAGCCATCTGACATGAGTTGCACCATCCCTGTGACACTTAACACAGCACTTTCAACACGTCTGTTGCTTTGGTTATAATGAGCACGTTTGTTTAGAGCTGTATGAAGGCAAAGAATTTCTATCAGACTCAATATGGGAAAATTAACTAGTTTCGATAGTCTCTGGAGTCATTACAGGGAAAACGGCAGGATTTTTTTTTTTTTTTACAACTGTAGTTCAATATGTGTCTGCTGCTATTTGAAATTCATTGCCAGTTCCAGTTGTGACAATATTGATATTCCTAAACTGATATAGTGTACAGTGCAGCTTAAATGCTTCCACTAAAGTTTATTTTATTTTATTTATTTTTTTACGTTTAATCAATAAAAATAAAATAAATAAAGAATCTTAAATAAATAAGAAAAAAAGTGCTAATGGAAAAAAAAAAAGAAAAAAAAGATAAACTCGTATAAACAATATACATGATGAGCAAATCTTATAGGCTCATACAGTAAATGTTTCATTAAAACGTCTTTAAAATGGTAATTAACATCTTTTTCATTAGGTCGGTCGGGGATTACAAGACTTAAGATGGCTAAATCCATGCGGTATCTTATTCATTATGTTTAAAACTAAATCTAAAGATGAGAAAATGGAACCATTACACCCCTATACTGCACAGTGGTTTAAATAATTGAGAAACATTTCATTTAAACCAGATTAGTTTTGTAAGAAATAGATGTTTAATAACATGAGAAATAACATTTTACTTGCAAAGTCTGTAAACAATTAACCACCATGACGCTTTATGATAAAATCCACAGAGCATTTCAAACAAGAAACAGAGAACATCTTGAACTTTACCACACCAAAACACACTCATGCGCTGTGGGAGGGTATAAATAAAAAAGGGAAATTGACATTCTATCCTCAAGAGCATCGAGTGACACACTGACACTCCATTTAAAGACACATATCGAGACTGATTTAGAAAACATTTACTTGAAATCGAAACTTTGAGAACAACATAAAAATACTCTTTTCCACTTTTTTCCACTAAATTTTATTTTCCAATTCACCATGAGTAGCACTAAATTACCATACAGTATGTGACCACTCAACATGCAGCTGAAACAATCAAGTATTCCCATGCAGTGGAAGTGCTTCTAGATGCACAGGTTGAAGAAAATGGCATGCCATTCCCTCTGTTGTCAGGAACAGCCAACTGGAGCTCTCTGATCTTGGGCCTCTGGATCCCAGGACAGAACATCTTGTGCATGAATTCTCTTCTATTGTTGCTCTAAAGATGAGACCTTAGACCTCAGGCTATGGTGAAGGAGGGGCTTTCAGGGAATTGCAGGAACCTCCCTGACTTCCCCCTCCAGTACTGTGATACTGCGGAGAGTGCAGGAGAACAAAGAACTAGTCATCTTAGTTCACTCAAAACTTCATTAGCCATACTTGCATTGCTTTGACATTACAGCATTGGACATGTACATTCAATTCACGTTTCACGGTTCGAAAAAAAAAATGTCATAACAGCATTAAAACAATAAATAGACAGGTATTTAGACATCATGCTAGCATTTAATTTATTAAAATGTGTTTTTTTTTTATAATAATATTAATAATGAAATAATCGTTTTAGAATTGAATTATGCTCATTTCTAACAATTTGAAATTTGAAGTAATGGTCCTAAAACAGGCCTTTAAATTTATGTGTTATGTTGTGCTGAAATATGTGATGATAATTTTTTTTTTCAGGTGGGAGGGTAGAGTTAAAAATAAGTTGGCCTTTTAATAGGCAAAACTAAACAAAAACAGGATCTCACAGTACTCTTCACCTCAGCCTTCAAAACCATGTGGCACTTCTTGCTCCCTGAAGTGCCACAAACAACAGAGCTATATATACAGTGGATGTTTGCTTTAAATAAAGTCTCTACACTCTAAAAAAAAAAAGGTTCTTCAGCGGTTCTTCAGCGGTTCTTTGGAGTGGTTAAGGTGCTATATAGCACCACTACCATAAAACCTGTAAGCCCCTGTATAGTTCTTTAAAGATTCTTTAACTCTCTCTTAGTCTCTTAGTTTAGTTGGGGAAAGGGTTAAAACAACATTAAAATACAGTCTATTTCTTGAAGATATAACTTTTTTTGCCCCCAAGGCCCCCATAATGAAATATTCCAGGGCCCCCACGTGAGATATTTGACCTCAGAAAAAAAGGACTTCTCCACAAACAGCAACACCAACTTCACACATTACTACCCAGTTAGACTTTATTTCTGGAGCATCTAAAACAGAAGTTCTTTATTGAGAATTAAGTTTTGTCTTTTTTTCAACTTACCGTTTTGGTGAATAGCGTTTGCTTTAGTTGCCTCTTGACCCTTGACTTTAACTTTAAGTTAAAATAAGTTTCTCTTTGGCTGTTGCAATAGTGTTTATAAAGCACATATGTAATGGCAAGGAACTTACTGTAAAATCTTTTCATGCATCTGAGTCTCTGGTTGCATATTATCAAAATCTTTATTCTTTTATGAGTTTTGTATTATTGCAGCTCTACGATACAATGTGACAATGTGAAAAAAATTGTATAAACCACTTTTAGAATTATGGGTTATAAAGAGGTTTCAGTTCTGTTCCTCATAGACATGAAGAATCAGCATGTGAATCTCAGCAATGGTGACAAAATATTCTGATAATTTTGATATGATTTTTGAACATCACAAAACAGGGCAGTAAAAAGTCACAACAAAAATAAAAGAAAATAGTAAGATTAAAAGAAAATACTAAGATAATGCAGCTGCATAATTTATTCATGTAGCAATGCATGCTGGGAGCCATGGATGAGTTATGATTGGTGCACCATTGTTGAGAAAAAGTGCTATATGGCACCTCTTATGGTTCTACATGGCACCATTTGACAAAGGTGCTATATAGCACCTGTAAAAATAGGTGCTAAATAGCACTAAAAGTGGTTCCCCTATGATTACGAGCCAAAGAACAGCTTTTAGTGCTATATAGCACCATTTTTTTTTGGTGTAGATAGTGAGTTTACAGAGAATTTCAGAGAAATTCTGACCTTTTTTAAGGTCAGTAATGTTTCAATGTGCTTGATTCTTTTGTTTTCCCCATGTGAATCTGAATTCCTTCTCAAAAGAACAGAATAATAGATGAAGTGTCTTCAATAATTTGAGCATGATTTTTTTTCCCTGCATGACTACTATGACCTTGACTAGGAAAATGTTCCTTAAAAATAGATCAGATTGCTTCAAATGGCCAGAGCATCCTAGCTATGTCTTTTGTGTGTGTGTGTTGCCTCTCTATTTCATTTGTTTCTTCTAAATATTTCAAAAAATAATTTTTAGTCAAATTACAAACCTATAAATAAATAAGAAATATGTTTCTAATTTTCCTTAGTCTTTTTCTCTCATACATTTTCTCTCATACATAATTTCCTAAATTTCAAGGTCACTGCTTAGTCCTATTTTAATTTATCCTAACAGGAGTAGAAGGGCAGTTTTTTAAGCATATTTCATGAATGAATTGTATTCTGAAGCACAGCATAAAAACTTAAATGAGATGTTTGAAAAAAGACATCAAAATTAGAGAACACTTGCAGATACCCAACTTATTGGCGTTAATCTGGCTCTAATTTCCTTAATTATATGACAAACCTTATTTAACTGGCAGCACTCCTTACGTACCTTACTGCACGTTTCGCAGCAGTTTCAAAGTGAGATGTCCAGAGAGTGGTGCTTAAACACACGTTAAACACGTGACCGTGGCACATTTTTATTACGTTGGTACAGGCACGTATTGCTGCGTTTTTATTATGCTGCTTGAGATACATATTGTGGCTGTTCAGAATTCAAATAGCCTATCCGTGAAGTGTCGCTAAAGGTTAATGCTCTATTGTGCTGGAAATATCCCCTACACCAAGCCCAACCCTAAACCTACCCGATAGTGTTAACAAATGCAAAAGTAATATAAAAACACGTTTGTTGATGCAGCTGTTCTGTTTTAACTTCCTTATGTGAATTTGAGCTGTTTTGTCAAACCGTAGTTTCATGAGGTTCGTACCAGAGCTCTTTATCACTCGTGCAATGCTGTGAACTACCGAGCAAACCTACTGAATTAGAAAACTCATGCATATGAAGCTGTATATGTGACGACAACGTTCAAAAGTATCAGTTTTCAAATCGTGCAGGATGTTAAAATTGTTTTGAAGTCAGCATAATTTTCTGCAAGTGTGTGAAATTTAGCCTTTATTAATCAAAACTCTGTACCTGTAAATCATACTTTGTGAAAAGGAATAAAAGTTGTCGGAGTTTTATTACCTCTAGTATTGATTTCAACTGGAAACTGCAGTGATTCGTACATATACATATATATATATATATATATATAT